CCTGAACGGTTAGTGCCCCACTTTTGTCAAACCCCTTGAATTACAGCTGAAAGTCCTGACTTTGCTCCCGTCTGGGTGTATTTCCTTTCAACTTCAATGTGGTGGTGTACAGAGGCCAAATGCCAAGACAGTTATCCTTGTTCCAATATTTCTGGTCCTGACTATATTTAGATCAAATAACCATTCCCAAACTCCAAAGAGCACTAATATTACCACATTTTATTGCCCTCCCAACAGCTGTTCTGGAGAGCAAATACACAAAAATTCCATGCCAACTAAGATTTTGCTCTTGCATGCATTAATATGATCATGTAGTTTTCCTAGCAACAACATGGAAGTGGTTTGCAATTGCATTTATGGCCTCAATATTTAACAGCAGAGGGCTCCAAAATTTTACTATGCATTTTGTAAAGAAATACCAACTCCAACTTCGAACACTGCAAGACAGAAATTTCAATAAAAATATAACCAACATTCAGAATGTGATTTCTCCTTTGACTACAAGGCTCCCGCATCTATCACTGTCTTCTGATCTCAAAATGGATGGTGAAATGGAAAAAAAAAATACACAGCAGAAAGGCTATGGAACAGGGGAGGTAATCTGTTGGGATAGATGACTAGTCTATCTCGGGGACTAACTCTCTTAAAATTCTTCCCAGTGAGCAGTCAGCTGAAAATGTTCTGACTTTGAAAGACTCTAATTTTAATTTACATAAATAATAAAAAATAATTTAAATAACAACTTACCTTTGGGGAAACTGATGTCTAGGGCAACATCGTAGGCCTCAGCAATGATCTGTATATTTTCAATCTGAACAATCCCCAGAATGTTTTCTGCATCGGAAACCTGAAGTGACCACAAGAATTGTCATTCTGATTGGCATCTCAGTTGGCGGGTGCTGGCCTATGGCTCTGCCCGCTGCAGATCCAGAAGCGCTGTCTTTGTAAGATGAGGCTGACCCTCTGCCCAGCCTCCCATGGGAGGTCCTTTGTCCCCACCCTGATCTGACTTTCTGAGAAAGTTACAAACTTCCAGGGTCTGGCACCATGTATCGTTTTTACTTTTTATTAAAATATTCTTGTATATTATATGAGCTGCCGAGAGTATAAACAAATAAATAATTGAGGGGGAGGGATGCTGTTCCAGACATCAGGCTGTGACAGAAAAGATACAATTCCTGGGACCTGATAGATGACATTGTCAGCCCTTCAGGGTAGACCAGAGTAGGAAACCAAGTCATGCAGGCCAATGCTACCTTTATTATAAGGTTATAGAAACAGAGTTTTGCAAGTCTGAATGTGCTTCCCCCCACCCCTGTCTCCCTTAATCTTCATGAATACTAGGCAGGGTCTTGTCTGAGACATTTTCTCAGGTTACAGTTCTGGCCTGCACTCAGACTGCTTTTATCTGACCACTGTCTTGGTAGTGGCTCTTCCTCCTGTTCCTCAAGGTTATTCCTTCTGGCCCAGCCTTAGCCCCCCCATTAGACTGAGTCCCCCCGCCCCCGCATGTTCCCAGAGGAATGTGAGTCTGGTCCATGGGAATGGAGTGCAGCTGTGCTGCTCCTTTCCTCTCCTGGCAGCTCCCCAAGATCACAGAAGAACTCCTATAACACAGCTGTATCGTGAGAGGTGACTTCCTCCCTCTCTTCCTTCCTGCTGTGCCGCCTGATCTTACTCTTCCCATTCTGGAGGTCTGTTTTAAGAGCCTGGGATTTATGCTACATTATTCAGGAAGCAACATGCTCGTCTCTCTCAGGATGCTCTGAATGCTCCAAGTAGTTCAGCAGCAATCCTCTCTTCTTCTCTGGAGAAGCCCAGCTACTCTGAAGCTTTTTGAAGCCAAGATGCTGGTACCGCTCCTCTATGGAGCACAATTAAAGCCAGAAGTCAACTATGAGAAACTGGAAAGAGCTCAAACTGGCTTCTTAGGAAAGTTAATTCAGGTAGCAAAATGTGTGCCTAATGCTATGTGCATTCAGGTATTGTTTAAATTCTTTGGTACATCTTCTGTCAGATAATTCTTCTTGGAAGCTCCAAATAAATGACAAATTATATAAATTGGGGTTCTCAAGTGAGATGCTGATGCACATGGGACAAAATCAGGCAATGGAAGCTCTTAAACAATTCTTCACATAGAATTACAAACAGGATATACCTAGATGTCACAAATTTCATTTTAAACAACAAACTCTGGAAGGCCTTTACACTGTTGTGGTTGAATATTTTACCATCAACAGTGTTGGAGGGAAAATACCACAAAATCCTCTACGTTGAAAGGTTTTGTCCCAGCAAAGACAGGAGCCCTGAATTATGGGATCATACCCTTCTGTACTGTAATTTTTACCAAGGCCACCATGCATGACTACAGGCCTTTTTATCATGCATATTACATTATAATTTGCATTACTTACTGTTTTTTTTCCC